ACCATTCACCAATTGCCGTTGCCTGATTGAGACATCCGCTACCGGCATGCAGTGCCTATGGGCAGATCTGTAGGCGCTAAGATCTGCTGTACGAGGTCTCAAAAGTCGTCTCTTCGTCTCGGAGTGTCTCTACAGCCGGTCGGCGCCTGTCGGCAGGCCCGTGAGCGGCGGCGTGACGGCCAGTTTCCATGCAAGGCGCCCATGCTCGCAGGAGGTCCCCGTTCGGCTTTAGTTAGCCGTCCGCGGCCATCTCGACCATTAATCAAAACCACGCGGCAGAATTTCGGCGTCAACACGCGGCCGGGGCGGCCGCCGGCGCCGCCCCGGCCGCGTCATTACCATGTAGCCGGCGCGCCGAGCGACAATGGTTTCAATCAGGGCACCGATTGGCCGGCGCTGTTGCACGGCCGGTCACGTGACCGGCGCGGCCGATCGGCGGCGATTGCCAGCGCGCCGCCACGCGCCCCGGCGGCCACTCTTCTGACCGTGCTGTCAGCGGGCCGCCGGCCGCACCAGAACGGGCAGTCATTCCGTGATGAGGCGGATAATCGCTATTGGAGCGGCCCGGCGCCGCGCGCAGGTGTATCGGCGCGGCGCAGAGATAAAGGATTCACATGGCGATTAGCCTCTCGAGGGGGACGATCGGAATTTCTTTTCAGGTTGGGATCCCTTCAATGGTGTTGTTCTGTGTGTGTCGGTGTGTTCGGGTTTCGGACGGGCCGCGCGCGGGGTAGCTCTCGGTTGGGATGAGGCGTGTCCGGCTGTCCTTCCCTCTCGGCACGGCTGTCGGTCGCTGTGACCCGGGCTCGGCCGGTACCGCTGCAGATCACAGCGACTGCTGTCGGAGGCTGTCGGCCGCCCGACAGCCGACCGGGCTCCGCCGGCGCCCTGCCACCGGGCGCGCGCCGCGGCATTCCATGCACTACTCGCGCCGCCCGAAATGGGACGGCCCGGCGGACTGCTGTAATTTACTTGTCCCGGCTGAACGCGCGCCGACGGCGGCGGCTCGCACTACGCGTGTAATTTTGTATTCACGCCGGATATGATTTGAAAAAGTTTGTGTGCGATAATCATTTGTAATCGCCGCCTAATACTAGCTATCGTTTAAAATGCATCCGTTTGATAGCCGTCTGCGGCTACCTATATTTTTACTAATGCTATGTAAAAGTCTGTAAAATATAGCCATTAGGTGACGTGGGCGTCTTCTGAAACTTTTAACTCGAAATAAATGGGTTTTATAAAACTTGGGATCAGGAGAATCAACTGGGAAAAAAATACAATCAAATGAAAATGAGGCAAGCAATGAAAGAAATTTAACGGTAGTGTGCCAGCTTTCATGGACCGTATGGAGTTGCCCAGATAAGGAGAACCGGATTTTTAGAACTTATCCATACCTTCAAAACTCATGGAAACGTCTTAAATTCTTCAAATTTTGAATACCCCAGTGCGAAATTCGCCCCGAAGGGTTGTCGGTCGTACCCCAACCACATTTCACACCACTATGAACAATAAATGCACACACTGAAATCGCTATTACCGATATGCTCATCCAATCAAGTTTCGATAAACCCGTTCATCATCATCTCCTGCGGTTTCGAACACGCCTGTTAGGTGGTGCGGTAGACCGCGCCCAAAGCCAGGGCCCCGGCTTGGGTCAGCGCACGCTGCCCCGACTCGGCTACCTCACGTTACCGGGGCCCTGGCTTTGGGCGCGGCTTCTGCTCATACTTTGTGGTGCGGTGGTGGTGCGTCGGGCCGCGCGCTCTGACTTCGGCCAAGAAAAATGCGTCAGCTGATCATTGTCATTTCTGCCACTTGCGTGTGGTGAAATGGGGTCATAACTTAAGAGACGGCTTTTTCAAATTTCATATCAATTATTTTACATAAAATCATATTTCAAACCATAAATAATGTTCGACAGCCAAATAAAAGAAACAATACCAATACAGGCTTACAGTTTAAAGGGACTATCCCACCTTTAGCATGGGGTTTGAGTTGAGATAGCCAAGTTTGCGGCGAGGTTCAGAAACCACTATCTATCTAGGTTGCAACCCCCGCGGCCTCTTGGTGTTGAAGAAATTCGTTCCCTTCATTTGAAAATGGGCCTTGTGCAAGGCCCTATCTTCAACATGGAGCGACCGTTAGTGTGACGTCACCTCGTTTAGTCATTCTGATTTAAATGGGTTTGTTCGTTGAAAAATCGCTTAAAACTTGGTCTGAACTTTGTTGTGGTGCCTACAGAGTAAAAAGAATCAGCTTTATGACAGTAATGTGGCCTGGTGAAGGAGGTAATTTTGGGCTGTGACGTCACATATTTGAAAGTTTGTGTTTGGAATATGGGAAACCTAAGATGTTTAATGAAAAATAAATGCCAGAACCGTGTTCCTGGTCATCCAATCTATAAAGTCGGGCACAATTTAACTGGTTTTAACAACATTTTAGAAGGTGGGATAGTCCCTTTAAGGCTCGACATTGTGTTGTCTACGATTAGACAGCTGATAACTCATTCCCGTACGTCGTAACTCTATAATGACCTTTGCTTATTGTCACATGTGCGCCGCATTCGCGATTGTTGCCGACGTCTGTTTGCAGGTCAGCCCACTACAGTTGTTATACATATCGAAAAACCGATAAACTTTTAGGCGAAACTTTTAGACTATTCCAGGCCCATTTTTGATTTTTTTGCGATATTAGGTAAAAACAGAAGCTTCTTATCCTAGGAAAAATGAAATGGGAAATCTTTCAAAGGTGGCACACTACCTTTAATGTAATAATGAAGTCTAAGCATAGCCATAATGATTAGGTACTAAGTGACTTTGCACTTCTCCGCTTATGAAGCTAAACATATCTCAGTTGATTTGTGAACAATCGTCACTGCCTTTTTTAGACTATGCCACTCTTCGGTATCCATTATTATATGTCCATTGCAAAATGCATGTTTCTGATAATGATCTGCTTTTTCTGTTTCTTCCTTCATCTCGGTGTTCCAGCTTTTCATGTTCCGTGTCGTTTTTGGTTTCAAAAATGTAATATTTTTGCACCTGATGAGAATGCTGTAGCCACATGTGAGCTCTCACTCACCTCTTCACCGTTCACCTCTTTCCCTATGCTGACAAAACACTCCCGTGCCGCCTTCCTGCCGTGTAAGGTGTACTTACATACATTTTATAGCGTACACTATACATAAACAATGTGGCGTGCATCTTCCAATACAAGCACTAATGAATGAGACTGTGACGTGCAATGTGCATGCCACACTGTCACTGTGCATTGAGCATGCTGGATGAAACGCCTAGCCACGACAGATCCTACAGGAATCGGGCCATTGAACAGCAGTTTCGGACCACCCAAAGAACTCGCGGCGGTGCCGTGCCTGGACCGTCTCAGACCGTTCTCCCAGCCCGGATGCGGTTATCTAAGCGCCAGTCTGGCCGCGGTCCGCGCCGGTCCGGCCGCGGTCCGCACTGGTTCGGCAGCGGTCCGCGGTGTGGTCCCTGAGCGCTGGTCCGGTCGCGGTCCGCGGGGTTTCCCAGGGGAGCCGCCTGGGTGCGCGTCTGTTTGTGCTGCGCTCCCCGGTGGCAGACGGGTGGCTCGGCTAGCCTGTTGCGCGTGCTAGACGGGCCGTATCTCCCTCACTTCCGCTCCACCTGCTAGCGCCGATTTCAGCTGCCCATCGAGGGGCAGGCACAGGAAGACGGTTAAAGCGCCGCCCCGGAACTCGCTCATTGGCGGTGCCGCAGCCTCGAAACACTCGGTGCGTGGAAAGTGTGGGTGCTCCAGCGCAGGATAAAAGGCCGCTCTGTACGACACAGTTTTGGCCCAAGCTAGACCCTGCTCCCCTGAAAGGATCCCGTCGCATTCCGACAACAGCTGCCCAAGTGTGCACCTCTTTTTCAGTCTTCATGGTCTTTTCTATTGCCGGCATGCCTGTACCGTCACACGCCACAGCTGCTTCGCAACTAGCCTGCAGTTTGATAAAGAGCCAACCGTTGGCCTTGCATCGATAAACTAAAAGCGCATTGCCACACCTGGATAATTAGTGGTTGCAATCTGAAGCTGCCGAACTTATAAATTTCAGAGTCAGAACAAAATTGCTTTGCAGGACTGCTTCAGCGGCTGCTCCGCCGTCTCGTGCCACTGAACACCTGCTGAGCTCCTCTCCTGGAGCTCTGGTCATCGACACCCGCGTCACGCGTGCCGTCACAGGACGTCACGCGCGCCGTCACGGCGGCCGTCCGCCACCCGACCTGACCTCGGCCGGTGACGGTCCTCGGTGACGGTGCGCCTCGGTGACGGTCCGCCGGCGCCAATCAGGCTCGGTGACGCGCGGCGGGCCGGCCCCTATCAATCACAGCTCCTTCCCGGCGCGGCCGTGCCGCCCGGCCGCCGCCACTAATGACACGCGACGCGCCGACACCGGCCACGCGCGCCGGCCGACCGGAAACGACGAGCTTCCGGCGCGGCCGAGCGGTCACGGCATGCCACCCCCAACGGCCCGGGGCGCCGTCTTAGCTGGCTGGCGACAGAAATAGCCATGCGCGTTCAGAACGGATTTTTAAATTCGAATTCGGCATGCTCCGTAGAATGTGCACCTGGTGGCACAGTCGATATCATCCGATAGAAGCTTCACGTCCTCGGTCCTTTGATTGTTCTACGGTTCATAAATATGTGCGACAGGATGGCTTACTGTTCCTATTTGCTGATTTGAAAAAGCTACAACATTTGATAACACTTTTCAAAGCTTATCATTCTACATTGTTTAACATGCAACTCAGTAAGTTGAAAATTATTATAAATGCCCCCCTCCCTCCCCTTATAATGTCTACAGTAAAATTCCAATATACATTTATCTGCGCAGTATCTAGCGTTGACAAGGGGGAATCCCATCGGTCTGTGACATCTCTGCACCGATATCTGACATTTCATGGCGAGCAATGCCAGCTCGTCAGGTTCATAAACAAACTACCCGTCGAGCCGCTGCGCCCCGTCGGCGCTTCTGCACAGTGTGGTCCCAGACCCGCCGGTGACCTGTGTGCGACCCGGCAGCGCTGCCACTATGAGGCGCTACGCTTCACGATCTCTGAGGCTACCGTCAGTGTCGCTACTGCTGCTGCTGCTTGGTGTTTTCTGCGCTCCGACAGAGGCCTTCGTTAGTGGTCAAAGGGATCGACAGCAAGTGGAAGATGTGCTTACGGAAAAGCTGTTTGCCGTCAACAGGATGCTGGGTAGCATACAGCGACACGTGCAGCGTCTGGGCAACTGGGAAGAGGCCGTGGGAGACCTGGAGTCGCGCCTGGATGTACTCGGTGCCGGCGAAGGGGCCGTTTCGGACCAGGCTGCCGACGCGCTGCAGCGAATGGAGGCTCTCTCGGAGACCTCCTCCGCTGCGCTCTCCAAGCTGGGTAGCGTGGTGACGGTGCAAGAGAGCGCGGCTGACGCGCTGGTCAATCTCCGTGATGGTCTGACACAGCGTGTGGCCGCCGTGGCCGAGTCCGTGTCCGGCCTGGCGGGCTCCCAGGCGGCCGAGCACAACCAGACGCGCAGCGCGTGCGGTGACAGCGGCGGCGCGGCGCTGACGGAGCCGCTGACCGACCTGCGGACGGCCGGCGGTCAGATCACCGAGCTGACGCAGCGCACAGAGGAGACACTGGGTGGCGGCCTACAGCGGGTGGACGGCCGCCTTCAGGAGACCGGCCAGCAGCTCCCCCAGCTGGGCCAGGAGCTGGACGAGGAGCGTCAAGCGCGCCGCTCCTCCGCCGGCTCCCCGCTCGGCTGCAGGGACCAGAACAACAAGCTGGTCGACTGGTACGTGCTGTACAAGCTACCCATCCTGACCAGCGCTACAGGCTTCGTCCGCAAGGGCTCGGCGTACGTGCACTTCTCGTCGGCCTCGACGGTAGGCCAGTGGACCATGTCGGAGGTGTCCATCGACACCCCGCAGTCGCACCCTGGCCTGACGCTGGCGGACGTGTATGATCAGCCCGAGCGGGCAGGTCTCCAGTACGTCTTCTACAACGACCAGTGGCCGGACGGTACCACGTCGGGCACCGAGGGCCACACCAAGGGAGTGGTGGCCTTCGAAGGAAGCCAAGGCTTCTGGATGATCCACAGTGTGCCCAGGTTTCCTCCAGCGCCGCGGAAGAGCAAGGAATACAGCTACCCCAGCAATGGGTACACCCACGGCCAGAGCCTTCTCTGCATCACGTTCCCCACCAGCGAGCTGACGAAGGTGAATAAACAAGTGAGTCTCAACGAGCCCTACTGCTACGATTCCAAGGATTCTGACATTCTGTGCCGGCCGAAACAGGCGAGGGAAAACGCAGGTGGACCATACTTCCCTAGCCACCGAGATCATTTCACTGGGCTCCATGAACATACTCAACTTGAAGAGACCTCCAGCGTCGAGTCTATCTTCAGCATCCACGGCAGCGAGTTCGCCACCTTCGCCAAGAGCCGCAACTACGGCCGCGACCTGTACAGCGTCCTGGTGGCTCCGGCGCTGGAGACCAGTCTGTACGCCGAGACGTGGCGGGCCACGATGCCGTCCTACTGTTCCGGCCGCTACACGGTGGAGAACGTGCGCAAAGTCACGGTCGCCACGGCCAGCGAGGCGTTCGACTTTGTCTCCAACAAGGACCACAGTAAGTGGGCGGTCTCCACCAGCCGGAACCTGCCGTGGGTCTGTGTCGGAGACGTGAACCGGGCCGACTCGCAGACGAGAAGAGGCGGCGGCACCGCCTGTCTCAGGGATGAGCGCCTCTGGAATGTCTACCGACAGACGGTGACCGTTTGGGAGCCATGTGCTTAGAGCACGTCTGTTACTGCCTTTGCCAGTTATTAATCCGCGCATGACGGGGGGGGGGGGGGCTCTACAGAGCCCCCTCCCGTTTTTCAGCAATATTTTCTAAACCGTTTGACGGATCAACACGAAACTTGCGGTACCCTCAGAGACATCAATTTGACACCTTGTGTTAAAATTTCAACTTTCTAGCTACCATAGTTTGGCCGGAAATTACGTCAGAGTGACGTCATGTCGGCCGATTTTCATGCAAAATACTGAATTACGGCAAACGCTCTCAGCAGCTCAGTTTTAAGCCTAGATCCATTTTCTTTGCATGAGTGGACTGCAAATACACGTAGCTATCAAACCGCTATCCCGAATTTTCGAAATATTGAAAATTTTGAAAAATATGCATTTACAATTACAAAAATATATTTTTTTTATTTAAAACGTTTTTGACTGTTCACAAAAACCGGAATATATGTGATAGAACACACACTGATGAACTACCTTTGCAAGTTTTAGCCCAATGTCTTCAAAAATAGCCAAGTTATTCGCTTTATTGTCAAAATTTTACAATTTTATGTTTTTTTTCAAATCCATTTTTCAGTACATTTTTGACGTCGTACAGCAATATAAATGGCACCATCGTGTTCCTGAGCTCAAAGTGCATCTGATGGGCACCTTTTTTGTTGAAAAATTACATTTTCAAAATTTGACCTTTTCTGACCTGAAAGTGACCTGACCTCCGGTAAATTCAGCTGACAATGACCTCAAATGACACAGACGACACTATTTTCGAAATCTACGAGTAAAATGGACCATAAAACATGCGTCACGTGACCGATACGTGATATACAATTTTCGTGACCTAGGATGACCTGGCCTTGACCTTAAAAATTCGAAATAAAAGTTCGGTACCCTCAGGGTATCTAAGGCATCCGTCAAGGAGTGCGTAAACCAAAAATGAGCCTGATCGGACCGGCGGTCCGGCTGTCAGAGCCTAGATTGTGAACTAGCAAAAATGTCGATAATTTTTACTTTGACCTGACCTGTGACGTCATCGGTGACCTCGAGGTCAATAAAAATAGGTTTCGTTCGACAGTTTTTCCAGGGCTATCAGACGCCGTTTGAATTTTCACGATCGGCCCAGTAGTTTCGGAGAAAGGAGGGGGGGGGCTCTGGAGAGCCCCCCCCCAGTCACTCGCGTTATGGAAAATACCCCAGTCATGCGCGGGTTAACGACATCAGAGCCGGTAGAAATGAAAACTTAAGCTAGCATTCTCTTTAGATTTGTGGTCGGAAAATCACTTAGCCATAAGCCAGTTATGGGTGGACATATTGAACGCGATTTAGGAAAATGTTGCGTTTGCACATAAAGGAAATGCAGCGGAAATGAGTCCTGTCAGCATTATTTGTCGATAAAGCTTTCATTTATCGTTCAGCGTGCATCTGGGCAGACCGTGGCTTTGGGGTAAGTGGGGTGAGACGCCAGGGTATGGCATACGTATGGCAAAAAAACTACTCAAAATTGATGGCATCAAATTCTTCGAATTCCATTTTTATTCGTTCTAGACCACGTAGCTCAAAACTAAGAACACCATTGGATTCCCAGTGACGAGTTGCATGGATTCAATATGCCTTTTACGTAAAAATATCAATTTTGAAATTAGAACTTTTTTGACCTGACCATTATGACCATTAGTGACCTGACCTCTGTGACCTAATCTGGTATCGGTGACCTCATTTAGCAAAATATGTTTTAGACAAATATTGCTCTGGATGATTTTCGATAACATGTCTTTCACTCAATGTTAGAACACATTTCTTAGAAGGCCTGTAAACGATCAGAAATGTGACAATGGACCTGATTTGCGACGCCATCCGTTGCACTTAGGTCAATGAAAATGAGTCATAAGATAGTTCTTCGTTGGAGCTTTCGAGCACCGCTTGAATTTTGAAAATCGGTCGGAAACTTTCCGAGATCTTAGGGCGGGGGCGGACGAAACGCTCCCCTAGGTGGTATGGGCCTGGCAATAGCCCTACGAGGCACAGGTTAAAGGGACCCTCCCACCTTCAAAAAAGTTAATGAATTGGCATGAAAGTGATGTCGCTCGGTTCAGAAAGAGCAAAAACGAACATCTACCAAATTTCATCGAAAAATATTCACCGATTTTCAAGATATTAGACTTTTACTTTTGTTTACTTTTTGGGATCTCCACTGTTCCAAGCGACTTTATTTGAAAGTGCGGCACTTGTTGCGCGGAAAGCAGCGTATACCACCGCGTGCTACCAAACGTTTTAGTCAAAGATTTAAAATCGTTAGATCTCCACTGACGTCACAAATTCTAAGGGGACATTCCAATGCATTAGCCCCTTAGAATCCGAAAACTGCAAGTTTGAAATTCCATATCTCCGAATTAAAGCATTTTTCGATGTTGTGAGTGCCCAAACCTGCAGGCTATGACCACCAATTTGGCTATCCCAACTCAAAACAAATGTTAACCCTCGCCGGACCTATTGGTTTTCTACACACGCGCCGGCCGAGGGGGGGGGGGGGCGGGTACGACCCCCCCCCTCGCCGTTTCGCCCCTGGTGGAGCTAGCGCGTCGCGGAAAAAAACGAGCGTGTGCGCCGTTACGAGACGCAGAGATTGGTACCCGATTTTAAGGTCCTAGGTCAACCGGTGACCTCTGAGGTCAGGTCAAGTGCCCCAAGGTACGGTTCAGTTTTTGGTGAATAACTTCGCAAAAAACGGCCGCAGAGCGCCGATTTTGGCAGCATCGTGTTCGTCTCGCTCAGGCGCGTCGAATGATATACTTTTTGTCCGGGTCAGGTCAACTTGGGGTGTTGACCTCAGGTCAAGGTCAGGTCAGCACCCCCAGGTCACGAAGTTGGTCGAAAGAGGTCATGTCGCATATCATTCGATTCGGCAGGTCTTCCTGAGTCCATTGGTGGCTTTCCCGACTCGCTAGCTCAATTTGATCAAGAGTTATTGACGAAAAACTAATATGACCTTGATGACGTCATAAATGACGTCACGCAAGGTCATCATTGCAAAAGTGACGCATCTAACCTTGCAAGGAGTGCATAAAATCACGATTCTGTGTGCTTGAGATAGTTGGAGATCGTTCCCGGCGCCAGAATAGCAGTTTTCATTTTTCCCCATTGACTTATAATGGTGAGGTCACGAAAATGACCTGACCTCATATGACCTTTAGGAAAAATCCGAGATATACAAGTTGTGGGACTCATAATGGATACTAGATCCTCCAAGTTTCATTTCCCTGTGACATCTCCTCTGGCAGTGAGGGCGTTGCGAAGTTGCGACATCTGAAGACCGTGCAGAGGTTCACTTATGACGTCATAGGTCAGTGACCTGACCTGACCCAAAAATGCGGTTGGTGTCAAAAGATGCGGCTTGGATCAAAGGTCAGGTATGCCAAGTTTCAGCTCTCTATCGCCAGCGTGTTCGGAGCTATCGCGAAAAAACCCTATGGGGGGGGGGGGCGGCACCCGCCCCCCCCCCCTCGGCCGGCGAGGGTTAAGGTGGGATGGTCACTTTAATGCTGTCTGTAATAGGTGAACACCAACAATATCATAGTGGTGAGACTCGACTGTTGAAGTGGACTTGATGCGTAGTTTTGTAATTATTTTATTTTAAAAAAGCGCCAAGTTTCCCACTTCTTCAAAATACCTTAGCTGCTCACCCGAATGGACATGCCACAAGTTTCCCATTTTAATTACCATTAATACCCAGCAACTAGCGTTAATAACAGGCGCTGAGCTCTCGGCGCCGACACGGGCAGTGATGCTGAAAGCTGGTCGGCCGCCGGCATATCCCGCAACTGTGGGTCAGCTACCAAATCCTGCGCGAGAAAACGCTGTTCGCCGCGCCGCCGGGGGCGCCGGCCGGCCGGTCAGGTTCCGCATACCTGTCCGGTGGTGGCTGGGTACGGGCGCCGACCGACGAGCGGGCAGCGCGGCGTCCATCACAGTCCGTCACCCGGGACACGCGGTCATCCCGGGCAGCACGGAGGAGTCAGAGGCATCGGTCGCACCCCCGGACACCCCCGAACCGTGCCCGGCGGCGGCGGCTCGGACCCGCCCTGTCCGCCGGCTGAGGTCGACCGGCCTCCGGCTGCAGTCAGACCACCGCGTCTCCGCCGAACTGCTAACTACTCGCGTGCTCACTGGCCGGGCAGCGACGTAATCTGACCATCTCGAGCGCTGCCTGATGAGCGCCCAGCAGGAGCAACCTCCTTCCAGGATTGGAACGGTGGGCCTCACAGGCCAGCGTGCCGGCACCGCTAAAAGACCAGTCACTGTCCAGCTTCTGGCGAAAATTCTGCGCTTCTGACCAGCTGCAACGCATGCCGAGAGCTGGGTCAGACATTGAATGACATGAAAAACGCGACAATCGGCACTACATAACTCACTATCGAGTAACCTACACATTGCATATAAAGGACACTACTACACATATTCAGGATGTAACTTTACGCCGATCTGATCTGAAGCTTCGTCAAAAATATAATTAAGCAGATGAGTGCAGTTTTTCTCTTAAATGTTCAATAGAGCTGACCACTGTAAATACCAGGCAACTGCTCTTCAGCTGCTCTGAAGCAGTCAGGGTAGGGATATGTGCATTCTCGTTCGTACATCACATGAAAGTCCCCCTAATGAAACGCAGCTGTAATAAAGTATCTCGCAACATCAGATACCACCAATTATGGCGGTCACCATCCTATCTACAGCTCTCCGTCATTTTAATGACACTTGGCTGAAGTCAGGGCTACAAATCCAGACGTTTAAGTCACCCATTACGACAACTGCTCTGAGTGTAAACCGCTAATGTTAGGCGTAATCAGGCCTGAACAAGACTCAGTAAGCTCCCCAACACCTAAAGCGCAATCCCCTACTACACGGTCATAGATGCCCCTACTATAGCAGCGTCATCTGATAGCAACTACGCCCACATACATATGCATACATTGCTGTTATGCGTTGCGCAGACATGCTAATCGCGTGCCATTACCCTGAAGAATGAGGTAGCGGCCAGTATAGGATCGCGTCAGGCCTGGGCGGTACTCGGTGTCGGGCCGAACGCAGCTCGCAATCTGCCCACGCCTATACCGGAGTCTGGCGGACTCGACCTGCCAATCCGCCGTGCTGATAAAATCCATCGTCCGCTCCGCTGTATAACGTCTTGCATACCCCGGGCACCGTCAGGAGGGCTACAGTTGTTTACAGAGCTGCAGCCACCGTGTCTCGATAAACTGCTGATGCAGGCGGCTCCAGTGCTGCTTGGTGGCAGAGTTTACCGTCTGGACGATAAGAGAGTATCGTGGCAGTAGCACATGGCCTCGTGTGCCGAGGAGTTGCCGCTGGTCGAAAATGTGCAATGTATGTTTAGCTTCACCTGCTGATACGGCGGATAAAAGTGACTGAAAATGGTGCAGAGATGTAGGTAGGTATTATGCGTATATTCAAAGTGCAGATGGAAAATAATATACAGAGAATGCTGTGATATAAATAATAATGTATGTAGGTATTTGAATGACCGCAACATCGTTCAGCCGGTGTGCGGTTAGACCTTTGCAACACTCGCCTCGCAGTCACTCATCGCAGCCTTGCGATCAAATAACACGTGTCCTAATATGTGGCGTGATTAGTACGAGTACGCTGAAAATTGCGGGCATCATTAGCCGATCCCGTTTCAAGGAGCATGCTGGCAGCTTTCATTATGATTCTGGCACTGTCCGACCCGAGCCCAGTTATACGTGGTGCAGTCCATCGGTTGCGGCAGCGTCCGCCCGTCTGCGCGGACTGCGGCCTCCGCGCGGACTGCGGACAGGCTGGGAGGCCCGCTCCGCGCGCCGGGCGGACTGCGGCCCTGCTCCGCGCGGCCGCCGCCGGCAGACGGCAGCCGCTCGCGCTTGTAATTTGAAATGTATGGCCCATCGGCGATCGTTGCTCGCCGCTGTCGGGCCGCAGAAGATGTAATAGCCCCTGACCGGCCGGGCGCGCGTTATTTACACCGGGCACAGAGGAAAATTAAAAGCGCTTCATACGGGAGATCACGTAATTTGCGAGTTGGCGGCTGGAGGCGCGCCGGAGGCCGATTGTTCGTGATTAGCATAACCAGGCTGTGTCCGATCACTGAGTGGCCGGGTCAAACGGTGGCTGACCCTGTCAGCGGGTTGTCCGACCGGGCGGCGGAGACTAGCGACTAATGCCTATATTGGCCTGGGCCCTCAACGGAAGGAAAACGTGAGCACTGAGCCCATCCTTCCACCAGATAGGGTAGATGCCTAAGTGTCAGATAGCATGCACATGAAAGACACTTCGAATAAAACCTAGGTACGGGTGGAATTAAAGCGCCGTGCTATGTTCATTTCAAATGTATGATACAGAGAAAATTTACCGTAAAAGTCA